CGATATGGTTTAAGTGAATTGCTCCTTGTTGGTATTAGTTCTATAGATATTTTCCAATAAATTATTTATGATGAACGCGAGTTTTCGGAGAAAAATCAGTCGTGATAAAATTAAAAATAATCTTGCAGTAATCCCATGGTACAGAATTTCGTAAATAATTCATGTGTTTAAGAAAAAGAAAAGTTAAAATTATTCATTGTTATATTTTATATCTATTTATCTAAGTCTAAAGAATGCTGAGGAGCAAAAGAGTTTCTTAATGTTTTAATAACTTGTGAAATATAAAAATCTTACATTATATTCATCCCCATTTTCTCAATTTCACATTTACAATATATATATATATATATATATATATATATATATATATATATATATATATATATATATATAAAAAAAGAGAAAAACAAGATGTAGTCAACAAAATATTGTCTACGGTACTGACTAAGAAATTGAAAATTAAGTAGCTTTTTATTTTTTATTTATTTATTCTTATTTCGATATATAATTTGAATTTGTATATTTATTGTCCTTCGTGAGTCATATTTCAATTATTTTTCTTTAAATGAAGAAATAACCCAGAGGAGAAACCCAACCAGACTTTGAATCTTTTTGAAAGTCAATAGGAAAAAAAAAAGTGAAAAAAGTACTATTTTGTTTTTATTTTTTTAAAATTTATTCTTATTTCAATAAATAATGTGAATTTGTATATTTATTGTCATTCGTGAGTCATACGTCAGTTTTTTTCTTTCAATTAGAAAAGTTTTTTTTTTGTTTTAATTAAGAAAAGAGTAAAAAAAATAATACTTTGTCCTTTCTTCTTAAAATAACAATTTTGACAATAAACATTGTTTTAAGCCTGGGGCCTTTTTTTTTTCTTGCTACGCGTTCTTTTTTGTTTTGTTTTTTTTTTCATAAAAAAACATGGAGGCACCTAAATTCACTTCTTTCTTTTTTTTATTTAATTCATAACCTAGAAATTAAACACAACGCTAGATTATTATTCATTCAGTTTATTCAAGTATTATTCATTTTTAATATTTTCCCCCTCTCAAATCTATTTTAGTTAGCACTGAATTTACTTCTTTAATACTAATAATTATTTCATTTTCACTTTGACATTTAGAGATGAATAAAACTAACCAGTGTTTGGAAAGGTGCAGCGTACTTCAAAGTAGAAAACCATCTGGGCATGTCTTCCGAAAGGGATGGATGTGAATATGGAAAATAGCAAAAATAACTTGACATGGATGACATTAGGCTTCATGAAATTGACTTTCCTCTAGTTGAATGACCTTGTTAGGCTTCAGAAAAAGGGTATGTGAGATATAATTTCTCAATGTGTACAGATCTGTGAAGAAGTGTCCAAATTCGATACATCATCTACATTCACTTCATCAGTAGTTCCCACGGAGACACCAGCCCCTATCTTGGAGGTAAACGCTTACTCAGGCGCATTTGTGTTTTTTAAACGCCCACGGAGCCAACCTGTGATTTATACTGCAAATTTTCTGGGAAAGATCGTGTTATTTAGTGTGATCAACAAGTCACAGGTCATCGTGGGCGACTGGAGTGTGCTCAAGTCGTCGCCTACGATGACTTCATGCTAGCAAGGGTTCCGTTTAATCCAATTTCACTCACAAGACTAGGGTCAACCCGTGGTATGGTTTTCAGGCACTTTCCAAAGGTGGCGCAGGCTGGGATCGACCCAACGAACTCATAACTTCCTGAGAAATCAACCATGATGAGATTCTTTTTGAATTTGTTGGTCTGATGAATTGGATCGTGATTACGATTCCAATGTAATAAATTATAAACATGGAATATTAGAGTTTGAGCCTTTTTATATTATATTTTTGCTCTGTCTTGTACATAGAGCTCTACCTGGATTTTATACTCATCGAATATATATATATATATATATATATATATATATATATATATATATATATATATATCATTCGATTACTCACTATTAGTCAGACATAAATTTTTATATCACACACAAGCACACGTAGGCTCTCTCTCACGCACACACAAATATATATATATATATATATATATATATATATATATATATATATATATATATATGATTGCTTGATCGATTCCTAGTGCACCCATCTGCAATGGCGATTAGCTAATCCTTGTTGCAGACGCCTGCTCAGTCATGGTTGCGTTTCTTTACTATTCACAGGTTTACTTAATTACAGTTTCTGGGCGTGAACGCATAACCTGACATGGCCAGTAATTGAAATAGGTGGATACTTTCAGACCCTCGGTCTTGCTGACTTGCGATTCCGTGCTAGCACAGCCACAGAGGCTTCGGAACTTGGATAAACTCGTGTTATGGTTTTTCAGGTACTTTCCAACACTGTCGCTCGCTGGTATCGTCTACCCAGGGTCTTATCCAGAAGCCACGTCCTTGACAGATCGGCCATCTTGAGTTTCGAATCCCGGTTTCATTGTCGGAACGCTAACTCTCTAACAATTCAGCCATGTCTACTATATATTTATGTCTGTTGATCGGAAGATGTCTTTCCATCATTTAGGCCTGCTGTTCGAGGTTTTCGCTGAGTAATCATGTACCATCAATTAGTTCAAGACTAAGTTTGTTAAAAATTACAGAAATATTTACGATATGATGCGCAGTGTTCGCATTTTATAGTCTGTGTAATCAGGAAGCGCGCGTCTTTCTTAATGAAGTCTTCCATAGCTCTTCGTATTCCAAACTTTTAATGCTGTCAACAAAAAATAAAAAGTAAAGAAACCATGTAAAATGAGGTGAACTCAAGAGACAGAATTTAGATCAGCCATAATGAGGCGAACGGAAGTGGGCGGACGAAGGAAGAAAGAAAGTAACAAGAGCGCAAGGTATTAGAAGTAGGCGGAGGATATATATATATATATATATATATATATATATATATAGAGAGAGAGAGAGAGAGTGTATATTATGAAATGAACAAAGTCCTACAATTATTTTAAGACATTTTTTATTTTTATACGTTCTTTTTATAGATACAAATATTTAAATAATTTCTCTGTTTATAATAAACAGTATTAACGACATTTACCGGCTTGAAAGTTCGAGAAATCTTCATAGAAAATATGCGTACTGCGACTGGAATCGAACCTGTATCCTATAAGGAACCGTCATATAGCCTGACGTGCCTTTACCGATTTCGCCACAGAGGAGCGTTTCGGTTAGCAAGGTCGATTTTACTGTTTTTAAACTACAATTCTCCATAATTTTCACTCTTACATTCATATCTGCTCGATGCGTATCCAAATGTGAACAAATGACGTCACACATTATAAAATGGAGAAAGTCCGACAATTATTTAAGATACTTTTTTTATGTTTATACGTTCTTTTTTATAGATACAAATATTTAAGTGAATTCTCTGTTCATAATAAACAGTATTAACAATATTTACCGGCCTGAATGCCCGAGAAATTTTCATAGAAAATATGCGTCCTCCGACAGGAATCGAACCTGTACCCTACACGGAATCGTCATATAGGCTGACGTGCTATGCCATTTATCTACATAGGTGGCGTTTAGTTAGCAAGGTCGAATTACTGCTTTTAAATAGGAAATCTCCCATGATTTCTCGCGAACGCTCATATCTGCTCGATGCGTATCTTAACGATTGAGACACAGAGGAGCGTTTCGGTTAGAAAGGTCTTGGAGACTTGTAGTTTAAAAACAGTAAAAGTATGCTTGGCGCCAGAAACTCCAATACAAACATTTCAGAATGTTTGGGTGTCAATCTGAGGACAGTGCAGAGGATTCAAAAAGAGTTGGATGAGTCTAATAGTGATTACGAATGTGTTTGGAGTGATCATTAGTGATGGCGATGTTATGACTCCGTTCATCTTCCCACAGGGCCTGGCAACACGGAGGCCTATATCAAGTGACTGGATGAGGTAGTGCTGCCTTCGGTAATGAGGGTGGCTGCTGGAAGACCCTATATCTGGCAAGACTCAGCACCATGCCACACGGGTAGGAAAATCCATTCATGGCTGACAGACAATTTCTGAGACCAAATCACCCATTGCATTTGGCCATCTAACTCCATACACTGCAACTCCCTTGATTATTATGTGTTGGTCGTGGTTGAGCAAGAGAACAACAAAACGTCTTTTAACAACAAAAATGAACTGAAGGTAAGGATTATGGCAGCATTCACCAACTTAAACAAGGAACCATTCAGAGGTGTTGCAGGAAATTTTGAAGTCGACCGGAGGCCGTAGCTGACGCCAATGGCGATCTTATTGAATACATTTAATCTTTAGTATTTCAAAATATTTTTGTATGAGTTTGGAAAATATATCTGTTAAAATGAAATCTATCTATCTATCTATCTATCTATCTATCTATCTATCTATCTATATATATATATATTTTATATAAATATATATTTATATAAATATATAATGATAGAAATATATATATATATATATATATATATATATATATATATATATATATATATATATATATTTCTTTTCCATATATATATATATATATATATATTTATATAAGTATATATTTATATTATCTGTGAAAAGTGTGTGCATATAAATATAAATATAAAAATATTTTCAAAAATTAATCAGTTTGTCTGACGATCGCAAAAGCGTGAAACCCAGGGTTACAAAATCACATCAATCCAACCAAATATATTTATAATAATATCTATCTATCTATCTATCTATCTATCTATGTATGCATGTGTATATATATATATATATATATATATATATATATATATATATATATATAATATACAGAGACAGCGTAAAAGTGCTCGAATGTAATGAAAAAGAAAATAAAAAAGAAAGGAAGAACGAAAAAAAGAACGAAAGAAAGGAAGAAAGAAAAATAAAAGTAATGAATAACAAAAGAAGGAAAGGAGGAAGTAAAAAAAGGAACGAAATAAATCATGAAAGAAGCAAAGAAAGAAAGGAGAATGTAAGGACTAAAGGAAGAACTAATGAAGGAAGGAAGGAAAGAAAGAACTACCGACAGAAGAAAAGAAGGAAGAACAAAAGAAAGAAAGAAATAAGAAAAAACGAAAGAAATCCATAAAGAAAGAAAGGTCTAAGAAAGAAAGAAAGAAAGAAAGAACTAAAGAAAGCACTAAAGAAAGAAAGAACTAAAAAAAGAAAGAACGAAAGAAAGAAAGAAAACAAAAAGAACTAAAAAAGAGAGAAAGAACTAAGAATGAAAGAAAGAAAGAAAACAAGAAAGAAAACAAGAAAAAAAACAAGAAAGAAAACAAGAAAGCGCTAAGAACGTAAGAAGAAAGAAAGAACTAAAGATGTGCACTAAAGAAAGAACACACCAAGGAAAGAAAGAAAACAAGAAAAAAAAAATAAAAAAAAATAAAGGAAGCACTAAAGAAAGAAAGAAAAGAACGAAATTAAGAACTAAAGAAAGAAAACAAGAAAGAACTAAAAAAGAAAGAAAGAACAAAGAAAGAAATAAACAATGAAAGAAATAATGAAAGAAAGAAAGAAAAGAAGAAAGAACTAAAAAAGTAAAAAAGAAACAATGAAAGAAATAATGAAAGAAAGAAAAGAAGAACGAACTAAGAAAGAAAAAAACAATGAAAGAAATAATGAAAGAAAGAAAGAAAGAAAGAAAAGAAGAAAGAACTAAAAAAGAAAGAAAGAAACAATGAAAGAAATAATGAAAGAAAGAAAGAAAGAAAAGAAGAAAGAACTAAGAAAGAAAGAAACAATGAAAGAAATAATGAAAGAAAGAAAGAAAGAAAAGAAGAAAGAACTAAAAAAGAAAGAAAGAAACAATGAAAGAAATAATGAAAGAAAGAAACAATGAAAGAAATAATGAAAGAAAGAAAAGAAGAAAGAACTAAGAAAGAAAGAAAGAAACAATGAAAGAAATAATGAAAGAAAGAAAGAAAAGAAGAAAGAACTGGAAAAGAAAGAAAGAACTAAGAAAGAAAGAAACAATGAAAGAAATAATGAAAGAAAGAAAGAAAGAAAGAACTAAAGAAGCGCACTAAAGAAAGAAAACACTAAGGAAAGAAAGAAAGAAAACAAGAAAAAATAACGAAAGCACTAAAGAAAGAATGAAAGAAAGAAGAAAGAAAGTAAAAACAACAAAAGGACGAAAAAAAAAAGAAGGAAGAAAGTATTACGGAAGTAGAGAACGAACTTGGGTACGGAATTGAATATAAAGTTCCTGTCATTGCTGATTAGCCGCACCAATAAAATACGTGTGAGATCTGCCGAAAATGAAAGACAAGATGGCTAAATCCGAAAATAAATAAATGAAATGATATAAAAAAAAGACAATCTTCAGTGGAAGAATTGGGAAGAACAAAGATGATACGACAAACCCGGCAATATAATTAAATGTACGGACGTAAAGATGGAAAGAACAATAAGCCCGGCTCTCTGTTATTATCGCCTCTGTTTCAATCGCAATCAATCTATTTCTGACATGTTCTTCACAATCAGGGCATTTTTCACTCGTGCCTGTGTTTTCAGCGTTTCCTGCTTTCTCTATGCGATGTTGACTTGTATCGCAACTTCTAGAAGATATACCAGTTAATTCATTTACATTTATAGATAATACAAGTTTGTCTTCTCAAAGATAAAGAAGAGACAGAGATGTAGTTCTACAGAAGGATACTGAGAATATCATGGGCTGCACATCTTAGTAACGAAGAAGTTTTAGAGAGAATAAAAAATCGCACGTACTTAACATCAGAAGTAGAAAGTTGAAGTTCCTAGGGCACATGATGAGGACAGATGGCTGGGAATATTTAATACCCACAAGAGAGAATAAAGCCAAGGCGAGTGTCAGAGGAAAAACGATGCATACAGAACAAGGTTTAGGAAACATAAAAAAAGACAAAATTTATGAAGACAATGGAAAGAAAATTGTAGAGAGCCATGATTGCCAACGTCCTGAAGGGTCACGTCACATAGAAGAGGAATTTATTAAATTGTCTTTACTTCCCATTCGTTCACTCTTTATAGCAATCTATTCCTTTTTACTTTCTTTTTCTCTCAATCTCTCTCTAGTAACTTTTATGCGTCCCTTCAGGGCGTAGGCGATCATGGCTCTTCATATCTTCCCCTGCCTTGCACCTCAGTAAGTTTTGCCATTTTTATCCTATCTCCTAAACCCTTTTCTACTCTCCATTTACGCAAGATCATCAAGTATGTTACAGGCTACCTTCCTCTGTTCCCTCTTTCTCTCAATCTGTCCTGTGAGTACCACGTTTTCCAAGCCCTCTTTCCTCATTACGTGTCCCAGAAATTTCAACTGCCTCTTCCTGATGTTAAGTATAAGTTTCCTTTTAGTTTCGATTTTCTCCAAAACCTCGTTGCTATTCACATGTTTGGTCCATAGTATCCTCAGCATCCTTATGTAGAACCACATTTCTGCTGTGTCAAGTCTCTCCTACTCATGTTTATCTCTTTCACCTCTCTTTGCTGTGACCTTTCTCAATATACCTTTTCGTCTATTCCACACTCGTTACTCTTATCTCTCTCTCTCTCTCTCTCTCTCTCTCTCTCTCTAGTAACATTTCAATTTTGTTTCTTTGATTGGCGACCATCCATTCTTCCCTCTCTTTCCAGCAATTCACCTTTCTCTCTAACGACATTTTAGTATTGTCTTTCTGACTCATTCCCACTTTGAATTGACCTGATCTTCTTATCTCTCCCCCTTCCTCGAGTGGTCCATTTTTTTACTCACTCTCTGGTTACATCTCTCTCTTGTCTACAATTTTCTGTTTACTGATTCACCCGTCTTCCATCTCTCTCTTTATCTCCCTCTAGCGGCCCATAAGTCTTCTCTCTTTCCCGCTCTTCCTAATGGCCTTTTCTCTTTCCATGTCTTCTCTCTTTCACCTTCTAGTCACTCTCTCTCTCTTATCTCGTTCCCCCTTTCTCTAGTGATCTTTCTCTCTAAGAACTTTTTTTTTACAGAGATCCAACCGTCTTCTCTCTTTCATCCTTTAGCGACCCAGTAATCTTATCTCTTCCCCCTCTCTCTATTGACCTTTCTCTCTAAAGACATTTGTCTTTTTACAGAGATCCACCTATCTTTCCTTTCTCTTCCTCTAGCGACCCAGTACTCTTCTCTCTTTCCCTTTGTGACACTAAGCCGTCGGCCCGTGGTCAATTCCCAGTCGCGGCGCGAAGCTGTAACGTTTCTTCTACCGGCGTTTTGGGGTTGAATCTTTGTCGCTGCCACCAGCTTGTGTCCCGGTCGTTCGGTGGTCGTCGCTACTCGGCGAAATCCCTTGGTCAGGATACCAATATGTGAAACTCAGCCGTCCAGGGTCGAATCCAGTGGTCAAGGCACCAATATGAGGCACCAGGTCGTCGAATTCTGGTCGTCGATGTTAACGGCTTCACCAGCTGTACCGGTTCAATGCCAGCTCTATCGTTCTCAGCTCACTTGGAGGTCTGGTTACTGGAGTAACTGCTTCGATCTCAAGTCTAACCTACTCACGTTGTAACTTTGATCTTAGGTAGACGAGATCAATCAGGCGTCGAGCCGTAGAGCAAGCTGAGTCCAGATTGAAGGTGGCACCGCACAAGCGCAAAGAAAAAAATAAATAAATAAAAGAAAAACCCAAGAGGTTCAAGTATTTTAGGAAATAACAATTCAACTTTATCCTTCTGTTATATACAGGAGCGTGTTTTTCTCCCAGCCCATTTCCTACGAAATGTGACACTTCTATGTTTCAAGTAAGTTGGTCCTCTAAGTCAACAGGTTTAGTTTTTAATTGCTGGCTTAACTTCGTTCGTCAGTATAACTTACTCTGTCGTTCGTGAGGGAAGGTCGGAGGAGAGTTATCCTCCTAGACTCTTTCTCTCTCACATTGATAGCTCATACCAATCCATTCAGTGGGCGTTAACATCTTCTCCGCCTTTCTCATTCACCTCCTCCTATCACCATGCTACCGTACGACCAATGATCTCTCGGTCGTGTGGATGTGGCTACGCTGGCCTCCTTGAAATTATAATCTAGAACTTTTGTTCCTTTTTTTCCTTTTCCATCGGCCAAAATTCTTACGAACCCCTACATTGCCAATTAAATTTTTATCATATCTTCTCCTTATCCTGGGCGACCCAAAAGTCACTTAGCCAGCACTCTTACCGTCACATTAATCACTGTCAAAGTTTGTCATCTGGTCTTTTACGTTAAGTTAGTTTAATAGAAAGCTTGACTTGTTAAGAAATTAAATTCTTTTATCTCGCCAAATCTCAATTCTCCCCTCTAATTTCTGGGGAGTGCCAAAAGTTTACAATTGCCACATTGCTATTCGGCGGCTTAGCTTCTGTTGGCAAAGTAAATGATAACGATCCTCTCACCTATATCGAGACAATTCCAAAATTTTATAATTACCACATTGCTTCTATTCGCCTGTATCCAAGAAAAAAACAAAAAACAAAAAAAAAAAAAAAAAAAAAAAAAACGATATCTTGGAAAAATAATTAACATTGATTCTCCCTGCCTCTATCGGCATTCGTCTCCAGCCGAAATTTTTATGACCGGCACGTGTTTTGGCCGATAATTCCATATTTGCTTTTCTTTCTATCTCCCTTGGCGAGACATAAATTAACTAGACAGGACCTCACACACGGCTCTCTCCGCGGGCTTTTTTTGTAAATAAAATAAAATCTTTCTTTTAACGTCGATCAGTCTATCTTTCGTGATAGCTTTTTTCTTTTTCCGCTATTTTTCTGTTTTAATTTCTATGATTAATTAGTTAGCCAATTACCATAGCTAAATAGTGTCACACCTGTCTCTCTAGTGACCTTTCTCTTTCGTCTCTATTTCTCTTTTTACAGAGATCCACCCGTGGTCTCTCTCTCCCCCTCTCGTGACCCAGTAGTCTTATCATTCCGCCTCTCTCTAGTGACCTTTCACTCTAACGATATTTCTCCGTATACAGAGATCCACCCGTCTTCTCTCGCGCGCCTTCTAGCAACTCAGTACTCTTATCTTTCCCCCTCTCTCTAGTGACCTTTCTCTCTAATGACATTTCTCTTTTTACAGAGATCCAACTAGCTTCTCTCTCTCTTCTAGCCACATATTATTCTTATCTTTCCCCCTCTCTCTAGTAACCTTTCTCTCTAACGTTATTTCTCTTTTTACAAAGAGCCACCCGTCTTCTATTCATCACCCTCTAACAACCCAGTACTCTTCTCTCTTTCCCACTCTCTGTAGTGACATTTATTGTTAATATTTCTCTTTCTATAAAGATCCACCCGTCTTCTCTCTTTCTCTCTCTAGCGACCAAGTGCTCTTATCTCTTTCCCTCTCTCTCTAATGAATTTTCTTTTTTGTCTATATTTCTCTTTTTACAGAGATCCAGCCGTCTTCTTTCTCTAACGATCCATTACTCTTTTCTATTAGGTTGGTGCAAAAATAATGACGTAATAATGTCGTTTTTTGACGTTAAAAATACATCAGAAAACGACATTATTACGTCATTATTTTTGCACCAACCTAATATCTCTTCCTCTTTTTCTCTCTAACAATTCTTCACCCATCCATCTCTCTCTTTATAGCAACCTGTCACTCTTTTCGGACTCACCACTTTTGTCTTTTCCCCTCTTTGTCTTCATATGAATCTGGCATTCCACCCTGTCTCTGTCTATCTCTCAAAAATGAAGAATTCATTAACACCAAAACCGTAATCTCTATTTACATTATTCGGACTATTGTCCTCATCTTTGTTGCCATATTTATTACAACATTTCGGCCGTTGTACGCTCCGGCCTTCTTCAGGCGGTTGGAATATCGAACTGAATCCTTTATTTTGCTCACTGGAGTAGACTGTTCTAGTTCCACGTGCCATGTTTAATGGATGTCAGTTATCTCCTGTTAATTCCCCTCTGCAAGTTCTCCACTGCCTGAACCGGGTATTGAATTCACACACTTTGTGTCTTGTCACTTGGATCTAACCAACGCCTTTATCCACTGTGCTTCGTGTCCTTGAATGATGAGGACAATAGTCTGAATAATGTAAATAGTGTACATAATAATTAATACATGATTAAAAATATGTATCAATATGGTGATTTTCTTTCATCTTTTAATGATAATGTTATTAAGCTGATCAGACGATATGAAAAGAATTTATATAAAATAAATAGACAAAACTTGTCTATATTATTTAATGAAACTTGCATCAATGAAAAATGCTGCCTAAATACACACAATATATATACATATATATGTATATGTATGTATACATATGTAAATGTACCTATATATATATATTTATTTGTGTATATATATATGCGTATATATGTATATATAAAACGTGTTTATGTTAACGCAGCAATTTACATTTAAAGTAAATTATTTTAAGTTAAAAAAAAAAATTAAATTTAAAATTCCTAGCGCCCTGTCTCCTTCATGGTCACGCGTTGTCCCTTCACCGTTAACATAATTTTAGTCTGATGATCCCTTAAAGCCAGAAAACCTTTTTCCACCTCGTTATTTTTCATAATATATACATACATACATATATAAATACATACACACACACACACACACACACACATATATATATATATATATATATATATATATATATATATATATAAAATTTCTCCGATTTAACCAGTAGAGAAGACAATATTTATGAATAAATATGACAATAGGAAAACTAGTAATTGCTGACGCGTTTCGTGCAATGTGGACATTATCAAAGCAAAGCTCAGATAGCATGACTTGCAAGTATATGTTACACGATGGTACTAATTGTTACCCGAGGAAAAAAAAAAGAAAGAACAAAAACAAACGTTACGACAGTTTTTTTTTGTTTTTTTTATATGCACAAATCCCTTTCATAAAAAAAAAAATATATAAAATAAAAAAATAAATAAATCTCCATAGACATGCAAACTAGACGAGGGTTAATACATCTTACGTTTAAAATTTAGACACCCCCACCTTTCCCTGACTTGACATCTATGAAAGTAACTCTATACTGATACTTATTATTAACACCCAACGCACGCCTACCCAATTTAAACAATTCGCCTTAGCTGTTACCATGGAAATTTTGATTTCAATTTTTAAAACACGTAAATTTCAGAAATACGTTATTCCAATAAAATTTCGCTTGAAGATGGAACAGAGCTTACTTTAACTCAATTTAATTCAAAAAATTATATTGAAGTTTTTGGCTCTTGTTTTGAAACATGGGACTTCTTATGTCGCGATTTGGAATCATATTTTTAAATAAATAATTATATTTACGCTCTACATTTGTATCGAGCACTATTTTTTAAAAATAATAACTAAAATACTCAGGGACTTTGGATTATTTACCTAACCAGTTCCTTCCTATTTTCTATATATTTTCACATATTATATATATATATATATATATATATATATATATATATATATATATGAAAGTGAACATTAAAGTCAACACTCAGATGCTTCTGAGTGTTGAATTCAACGTTCTCTTTGAAGTTTATATTTACATATCTCTGATATTGGGCACTTTATCCCATAAATACAGCACATCTTAAAACTATACTTCTTCACAGTAGTAATCATTTAGTAAAAATACTCGGTTAGTAAAAAACTCGGATAGCACGACTTGCAAGTATATGTTACACGATGGTACTAATTGTCACCCGAGGAAAAAATTTGGAAAAAAAAAAGATAGAACTAGAAACATCCGAAGAGGGCGAAACAAATCGTCCAGTGCCTTATCTTTTAATCGAAAGAAAAACCTAAGCGAGTAAAAATGTTAAAACGTAGAATTTGTTCAAATTATTGATCATGCTAGATAACACGCTCTCTCCCAGAAACTTTGACTAAGGTCTTCTCTGTATATTCCACAGGTATATTCCAATGTATATTCCACAGTATAAGCCACAGGTAGGCTCTGTGGGTGTTGAACAAACACAAAATGCGTCTAAGCCAGTCTGCAGTATAGATTGGCTAGCCGCCCGAGTATACACGTATCCTCGAATACGAGCGGCCAGCTATACAACGATATATATATCTATATAAAGTTTAATTAAAATATCGATTTTGTCACTTAGCTGATTGCTTTTACAATCAACAGTCTGACTCTAGAGTTTTATTGACTCATTTTATTTAATTATTTCTTTTTGTTTTATATATATATATATATATATATATATATATAGAGAGAGAGAGAGAGAGAGAGAGAGTGACCTGAAAGTATGCCATGTTTCAACGATAACTTTACATAACATTTTTAATATTAGAAAATTGTTTAGTTATGTACAAATATTTGTTGATAGTTCGACCATATCAATAAAGAAAAATATTTCGATGTGAAATTCAGTTACCAAATATATCAATAGACCCGTTTAAATATGTGACAATTCATTAAACTCTTTTAAATGTGAGTTTTCACTATTTACATTACTCAGATTAGTGTCCTCATCTTTTCGCCATATTTATTACAACGTTTCGGCCTTTCTGTATCTGTCTTTATTTCTGAGATGAGGTATTATGTACGTTATTTACATTATTCGGACTATTGTCCTCATCTTTGTCGTCATATTTATTACAATGTTTCGGCCCTTCAGTATCTGTCTATATTTATGAGATGAGGTATTATGTACATTATTTACATTATTCGGGCTATTGTCCTTATCTTTGTCGCCATATTTATTACAAAGTTTCGGCCGTTGTACGCTCCGGGCTTCTTCAGATGATTGGAATATCGAACTGAACCCTTTATTTCACTCACTGGGGTAGACTGTTCTAGTTACATATGCCATGTTTAAGGACACATGAAACATTGGATAAAGGCGTTGGTTAGATCCAGTGACAGAACCCAAACAATGTGAGTTCAATACCCGGTTAAGGCAGTGGAAAACTTGGAGAGGGGAATTAACAGGAGATAACTGATAACTGATATCCATTAAAAACATGGCACGTGGAACTAGAACAGTCTAACCCTGTGTGCGAAATAAAGGGTTCAGTTCGACATTCCAACCACCTGAAGAAGGCCGGAGCGTACAACAGCCGAAACGTTGTAATAAATATAGCGAAAAAGATGAGGAAAATAGTCCGAATAATGTAAATAGTGTAAATAATACCTCATCTCAGAAATATAGAAAAATGTCAATTTTCCTTGGACATTTCGGAAGTTTCATATTGAAAAAGATTTTTTCTTCATAATTATTCTGATTTCTGATTATTTTATATTTTGATATTAATATTTTTTATTCTTAATTATTTTATTAATATTATAATATTTATTATTATGTAATACAATCACTCGCCACTTTTATCTGTTATTCAGTTGTTGTTTAACAAATCATTTCACTTGGAGATTAAATCATCCCAAGCACACATACATACTATTTTTTTCCTCTAGATTCAAATATACAAAATGTTGCAAGTCGTACTCCAAGGTGTGGTTTGTATATTGCCTTTTAACAGGATTTTTTTGCTTTTATCAGATTTGTTTATTGCCTTTAACCAGCTTTCCCGATAGGGATTTACTAAGCCTAGCTTTGATGCGGCACAAGGTGGAAAGTATAAGGCCAAGCAGTGAAGATCGAATTCACAATTCAGTCGTAGTTGATCTAGCCAGATAAGCTTGCTAACCGTTAGATCAAACCAGGTTTCCCTATTGACTTTTGCCAGGGTTGCTTTTCCCGCACTGTCTTCTGCATTTTACCAGATATTCGATTACCTTTTACCTATTTCTCAATTGACTTTTATCAAATTAGCCCATCATTAGGTTTCATTTTGGATGTTACCTGATGCGGCTTTTGATTTTTACCAATTTTACGTGTCTTTTCGGTTTTACAATATTTGCCTTTTGCCTTTTATCGCATTTGCCTTTTATTGGGTTTACCTTTTACATGGTATGCCTTTCGCCTTATGCTAAGTGTTCGTATTGAATTTTATTCGGTTTGCCTATTGCATTTTAACAGCTATAACTTTTACCCTTTACCAGCTGTGTCTATTGCCTTTTACCAGGTGGACCTTTGGCTTTTAACTAAGGTTACATATTGCCATTTACTATGTGGTCCTTTTCTTTTTTAACAGGTGTAACTTTTTACTTTTAGCAGATTTACCTATTAGTAAGTTTGCTTATTTCCAGGTTTGTCTGTTTCCATTTACCGTTCTGTGTATAACGATAAACTACTCTCGCGTCCCGGGTAAGACGATAAACTACATCCAACAGCAAGGCTTCTGATCAGGAGATTTTGAGGAGCGTAG